GACGTTTAGCGGGCATCGTCAGTGAGTTTTACCATTCGTAGCACCATATTACAACTCGTCAAAAAGACAAAGCCGATCCTTTGAACAAACGTGTGCTAAACAGTTATGGTATCTCCCATTCTGCCATGGCCTATTCGCATTTCCTATATCGTCCAATCCAGCCTTTACTGTCACAATATTTTACTTGCTTAATTAAATGTGGTACGGTGTGCCCTTTTGAGCGGCTTTTATGAGAAGCCTCCGCATTCCACGCTGGCTTTCTCACCGCCCTTCATCCTTGTGCTGGGAATGTTGATCGGAATCTGCCATATTGTTACGCAGTCCTCCTTGCCTAGGTCTTACCACAGTCGCTCTCTTGCCCCGTAAGATCAGTCTGCCCTCTCTCTAGTTCACATATTTCACTTGACCCCTGCCACACCATATGTGCCAACTTGAGGCGTTATTGGCCCTACCCTGCGTCTGGGTGACTAATTCGGGGCTCAAGCCTCTTTTAAGTGTCATGGTCAGGCCTTTGCCACATGGACCACGTCTGTTATAAAAACTACTGTCAGCCCACTAGCTCCTATCGCCGTCGGGTCTATCCTGTTTCTATCTCTAATACCAAGTCTATGACTTCTCATACCCTAGCCTCTTGTGGGCCAACCCACAAATGTTGTGGTTATGCTTGCTTTGACTCGGTTCAATGTAGTTTTGTTTTCTTTGGTCCTAATATTAATTAAATCCTGGGATGTGCTCTGAAGGACTCGTTTAGTTCTATTAGGTAAATTTGATCTAGCAGTAATACAAAACCTAGGTACAACCCTAGAAGAAAAGCGTTATTTCAAAGAAACCAGTCTTCTGGACTAGGTAGGTAGATTTGAAGCAGGTCACCTTTCTCGTCTTCGTCTTTTGGTGAATTATCGTGAAGCATGTTGTTCTGCTCTGACGATGTCCGTTACATGAAGAACGAAAGCTCAGCAAGGATTTACCGGAGTCGCAGGGCAATGCGCCGAGAACCTATTCGCGCAAATCTAGTCACAGCTTCTAGGCAATCCCCCAACAGCTTCGAGTCAGGCAAGCTTACGAATTCCTTCAATTCGCCTTTTAAAACGAAATTAAGGACACTCCAACATTAAACCACCAATAATTTCGTAAGAATTGTTTTATTGGCCACGTACCAATATAACTGATAATAACGACGAATGTACACAGACTTTCGGTTAAGAACAGGCGAGTTTCCGCAGCTGTCACAATGATATCAGAATTATGCTGGTCACATCTAAGCAGCTCTTCCATGCTCGAATTAATTCCATTCAGGACAAACCGGTGTCCTTCTTCGGCATGGCTAAGTTAGCTTTTAAATAAAATTTAGCAGCAATACGCCCATGGTAGAGTCCAAAAGCAATACCAACTATTTGGTAAATGTCTAGACTCTATAATTTTTGGCCGTTTCTGTCCTATACCACGGGGATCTAAGAGAGAGAATTGCGTTGACAAGTTTTGGTCTTCAACTAACCAGAATAAATATCCGCGATGTAATGGTGTTACTTAGATTTACCTTAAGCCTATATTGAATCATGCCCGTTTAATGATTCAAACCCCGAGCTGTCAATGTTCTGCCGCCCAGTGTAAGCTGCAACACCCGGTTTGAACCAATTAATATCCGATGATAACGAGTCATTAGTAATCTGAAAGGGCCAGAGTTTTGGCTAGATTATGGTGATATACTTATTTTAACGAAAAATCCTACTCTTAGATTATCATTTGCCTCCAGGCAACTATGATTGTTCTAACATCGCTTTACTCTAATTATGAGTTAATGGGAACAAAACGAAAGAGCAAAAGGGAGTCTTCTTTCATCATATATATTTTTATATAAATAAATATATATATATTTGTTGAAAGAACAGGAAACGCAACTTATTACTGGGAATCATACCACCCATTCTAATTAGCATAGATAGAGGAACTTCAAAAGCTCAAAGTTATGAGCGCCAAATCTCACAACAGCGGATAAAACACAGACGTTTTACATAAGGTAATAAGATTTAAACGGGGTTCGAATGCCCAGTAGTGTTACAAACATAAGAGCAAATGAGTAAATTAGCTATACCAAAGTTTTCCATAAGATTTATCTTTTAAAAGCCCTAATATCATAAATGGTTTTATTTATTCAGACATTAATCTTAAAGAAGAATTCAGATTAACGTAATTTGTATCTGATAGTATGGAGCAACAGAGATAATTCTACGAGCACAATTCTGCTCAAATATGGAACATAATTATTTGCATTAATAAGAATCTTTAAAAAAATTCAAAAAGTACATTAATTGTATAGTAAAAAATATACATTTAAAGGTAGTTGTCATGTAGAGTGTAATGGATAAAATAGCGTATTCTCTACCAATCTTGGTCCATGCCTACATCAATTATCTCCACTTGTTCATCAGCAGTGTTTGCGGTTTCTATCCTGACCGAGGAACCCGCCTGTTGCTGACCCCCTTCGATATCTTGACCTGAATATAGAAGTGGCATAGTGTCAAACGAGACAGCGTCTGAAGTCTGTGTAGACTGATAGATATGGGTCATTGAGGCCCAGGCTGGAGTTATAGAATCATCGCAGGCAATATTCGCTCTCAATAAGTCATGATCTGATTGTTCGGGCACTATGACATCCGTCTAGATAGTAAAGGTGAAGGAAAAACATGGATAAAATAAACAAAACATCAAAGCTTTTAGACGTGTCATAAGAAAGCATCATTATGCCAAAGAGCTAAGCGAAAAATAAATACTGCTTCGTTTGTAGCATAACACTTAATTGCAAGCTAAATGCCGTTGTACCATTTATAAGACAGTACTTAATCCTCTGGTACATGCACATAAAAATCTCCTAGGCAAAAAATGGCAATTAGCATAAATAATTAAGACAGATAAAATGCTATCATGTAATTCTGCAATTCTTATATTAGTGGAGATATTAAACCTTGTCCAAGTGCCAAAAGTTAGTTGTATCAAGCCCAATGGTAAGAGCTTTAAAAGTAAATTTAAAGACATGTCAAGAGAAAAGGATGAGCCTATCTATCCCAGGTCATTTAAGTGCTGATCGAAAGCAGTCAATACATGACTACTTTGCCCAAGAACGAAGTCCTATATTGCATCGATACAAGTCATAAAAATTATATGCCATAGGAGCCATAATGTATTGAATCATTGCAGTTGATTGAATGCCCAGACCTTTAACCAGCAGTCAAAATGTTATACCCGTTAGCATAAAATACCAACTTCTAGGGACAACTGAAGTCCCTACCCTGAACAACCTAGTAAAATGTTAGCATATCTTCACTTAGCTTGAAGAGAAAGATGGAAGGGATTTTTAATTTAGCCTCACGAAAGTGGAAAGATCATCTTATAGCTGACTAGATTTTTGCAGATAAGTCATCGGCGCTCCGTCCCGCAACCCCGATGAATCCATACTGAGCTTTCAGCCAAAATGTGAAGTAAAGGTGTCAGATATAATTCCTCAAGATAAATCACCAAACATGATAATAAGACCTTTTGGCCTTGTTTGATGAATTATCTATTCAAAATTTGCCATTTTGACTATTTCTATAGGCTGTCCAATATTCCACCTACTGGTATAATCCCCATGTCCAGCTAAGCATTTGGCTTTAGACCAGTTCATCCTCTTCTATGAAAGCCATGCGCTTAGATAGTTTTGATATTTCGACACACAATCCTTCGGAAGTTGTTTTGTGTTCAGATAACCCCTTATGTATGGGTCGGCAGGTCTCCCCACAAATAAGTTACGACATGAACGCAAAACTTTGCAACTAAAAAGAGAGTCCAAATACTCCAGAAAAAAGAGAGCATTACTGATGAGTTTTTCTTTCTTTGTACACCCGCCTGATGCTCCATTATCTCAATAATTCGCCTATATTTTTCTAGAGATGAAATGATGTTAGGATCAAGACCCAAGTGATAGTCTAGCCGTCTATTTTGTCAAAAAGATATACTTCCAACCATCATATTTAGCAATATCTTAAAATACTTTCGAAGTAGCTTTGATTAATAAGTTTCCTCATCCGAAATTCTTCTTAATCGCTCAATACCTGATCTCGACTATTAATAACTGCAAAAGATGGCTCCTTATTATCATGGATTTTGTAGCGCATGCCCAAACCCGTAAGTTTGGTTTTTTAATTCGTTCTAGTAAACATAACATGCAAAAAACAATCTACCTTTTGCAGAATAGTCCTATAGTAAATTGAGTATTCCAATCTATTCCATTCACCAATTCGAGGAAACTTCCGTCTTTAGAAGTTGGTTGATCTTGTTTTCACAACTTGGTCATATTGGAAGGAAAACTTAGAGGAACGCACCTAATCCGAAATACTTTGTATGTATGATAATTTCCAAAAGTCGGACATTGGACGTAAACATTCTCAGACGCTTCGCCGGCATCGTCAGTGAGTCTTGCCAGCCTTGGCACCATACAACAACTAGTCAGATAGGTGAAGCAGATTATTTGACCAAATTTGTGCTAAACAGTAGTGGTATCTCTCCTTCTGTCATGGGCTATTCACCTATCCTATATCCTCGCATCACGCCTTGACTATCACATTTTTTTCCTTGCTTACTTAAATGTAGTGTGGTGTGCCCATTTGAGCGGCTCTCATGAGAACCCTCCACACTCCACCCTAGCGTTTTCACACTCTTCACCTTTGTGCTGGGTATGTTGATCAGTCTGCCATATTGTTACGCAGTCCTTCTTCCATAGGTCTTTTGGGAGTCCCCCTCTTGCCCCGTAGGATACGTCTACTATCTCCCTGGTTCAAGTATTTCACTCAACCCCTACCACTCCATCTGTGCAACTCGAGGCGCTATTACCAATCCTCTGCGTCTGGGTAACTAATTCGAGGCTAAGGCCTCTAAGTAAGTCTCATGGTCAAGCCTTTGCTACATGGACTACGTCTATGGTAAAACAAAAATACCGTCAGTCAACTAACTCTAGTCTCCGTCGCGTCTAACCTTTAGTACCGCAAATACCAAGTCTATGACTTGTTATGTCTTAGTCTCTTGTGTGCCAAGCCACAAAGGTTGTGGCTCAACAATGAACCTAACCAAAGCAAGCAGTACCACAACGTTTGTAGATTGGCACACAAGAGACTATGGCATAGCAAGTTATAGATTTGGTATTAGGGATAGAAACAGGATAGATGCGGTGGAGACTAAAGCTAATTGGCTGGCAGTAGGCCTATCTTACCATATACATGGCCATGCAGCAAAGGCTACTCAGAGACTATAGCCTCGAATTAGCAACGCAGATACAGGGGATGGGTAATAACGCCTCGAGTAGCAGAGATAGGGTGTCAGGGGTCGAGTGAAGTACTTGAACCAGGGAGATATCAGACGGATCCTACGGGGCAAGACTCTGATAAGACCTAGTGAAGAAGGACAGCTTAACACTATGGCAGACTCTGATCGACACATTCAGCACAAAGGTGAAGGGGGATGAGAACACCAGTGTGGAGTGTGGAGGGTTCTTATAAAAGCCGTTTAAAAGGGCACACCAGACAACATTTAAATGCACGCGGAAAAAATTGTATTAGTGAGGACGTGATACGAGGGTATAGGAAAGGTGAATAGCCCAGGACAGAAGAGAGATACCTCAACTGTTTAGCACATATTTGGTCGAAGTATCGGCTTCACTTGTCTCTTTAACGAGTTGTTGTATGGCGCTGAGAATGACAAGACTCACTGACGATGCCGGCTAAACGTCTGGGAATGTATCACGTCCACGGTCCGACTGGACATTATCATGCATACAATGGACTCCAGACAAGGTGCGTTCCTCAAAGTCTTCCTACCAATATGACCAAGTTGCGAAAGCAAGGTCAAACAACTTGTATACAACGAAAGGAGACTGCGACCACACAAAAGGCCACACCATCTTGGTCTTCATATCTTCCCTGTCTTTATAGAGGTTGTTTGACCTTGTTTTCGCGACATGGTCATATTGGTAGGAAGACTTATTGGAACGCACCTAGTCCGTGGTCCATTGTCTGCATGATCATTTCCAAAGTTTAACCGTGGACGTGGTACTTTCCCAAACGTTTCGCCGGCATCGTAGTCGGCATCGTCAGTGATTATCGCCATTCTTAGCACCACGCAACAACTCGTCAATGAGACAAGTGAAGCCGATCCTTTGACTAAACTTGTTCTAAACAATTGTGGTATCTCCCCTTCTGCCCTGGGTTATTCGCATTTCCGGTTACATCCTATCATGCCTTCACTATTACCCATTATGCCCCACTATCTAAATAAACACGGTAAAATTGTAATAGTGAAGACATGATAGAATGCAACCGAAAATGCGAATAACCCAGGACAGAAGGGGAGCTACTACAATTGTTTAGAACAAGTTTGGTAAAAGGATCGGCTTCACTTGTCTCTTTGACGAGTTGTTGTGTGGTGCTAAGAATGGCGATACTCACTGACGGATGCCGGCGAAACGTTTGGGAATGTACCACGTCCACAGTTCAACTTTAGAAATGATCATGCAGACAATGGACCCCGGACTATGTGCGTTCCAATAAGTCTTCCTACCAATATGACCATGTCGCGAAAACAAGGTCAAACAACCTCTGAACAACGAAAGGAGACTGCGACCACACAAAAGGCCATACCATCTTGGTCTTCATACCTTTCCTGTCTTTGTTCGCCATTCTGCCAAACGATAAAGTTACTATCCATATATTGAACAAATAATTTTGGAACTAATAGTTTCTTGAATTAGACCATCTTCATGAGTTAGGTAGTTATACGCTTACATCTGTGATAAGCGCGACCCTATAACTGCTATTTAAGACTCAAGGTGTAATTCGTTCATTTCACCACTATTTATTAATAGCTTTACCAACTCCTCCCCTAAATTAGCACTCGTCAGAATCAAAGGGGAGCAATCTAAAGTAAATAATAGCCCCGGTCACAGGAATCTTAGTATAAATATGCCACGTCAAAACTTACGAGCAAATAACCACTTCCTTACCTTTGCTCATTAAATATTACTCTACTGCTTTACTTATCGACCAAAAGAATGTTTTATTCGGAACCGCCAGGATTTGAGGTTTGCTTTAATTGATGACGAATAAATCCTTGTGGTTTGTGCATAGAGCTACTCTGATCATTCACAATAATTCTAAGTGGGACTCTTTCTTTACGCATTTTGGGGACTGTGAATTCAGAAGCATGAAATCTTATCGAAGTGTACTCCTTTTACACTTCCTCCATTTCTCGTTTGTTATAAAATGTTGCAGACATGCCCTGAATATAGATTTAAAGGTTTCTGTGGGGGCCCTGATGATAACGTTGTGTTGCAATTTCATCTACCACCTGCACATTTTTTTCTACAATATTCAGCCTAATCAGAATGGCACCTGCTCCTCCACCTACACACAACACTATTTGTTCATCATTCTTTAGTTTCATTATAATGTTATTCGATCTTATTTTCCTGGGCGGTATTTGTATAATCTGTAACGCAAAGTCATTCCTAGTCACCTCTGAGAGACGATCGATAGTCTCTAAAACCTGTTTATAAAACGAAAAGCAATTAAGGTAATTGATTGCTATAACAAATACAACTTTGCTTCATTAAAAATCTCATCACAGAATATGATATGGGAAAATGTCTGGCCTTCATTGACTTAAGGGCACTAATGGCTATGTGGCATAGTTGTTAACGCGTCGAGATTATACGCTGCACTATCATATTTTGAGTCCCGCTGGGGGTGCTTATAAGACCTAAAAGAAGTAGAAAATGGAGTCCAATTCTGCCTGGATGAGAATACCTTTTGGGAAAGCAGGGCTAAATGAAAATGAATGAAAACGCAGAATGTATTTATATCATAGTTGGTAAATTTAACTAGCCTTATCACCTTAAATCAAATAGGGTGAATACATCTCATGTAATTTTAAGTTCTATTTAACTACAATATTAAGTACATCATAAGATTACTTAGGCGTAATCACATTCCACTAAGTTTTCCCCTTACCTATAACCCTTAAAATTTAAAAACAACTTAACGTAATATATGAAGAGAAGCTGGGTTTCAAAGAATCCCTTAATAGGTTGATACTGACGTATCTTTCATTTCGTTTGAGGAGAGACGAAGGGATTAGTAGATTAGCCTTACGGGATATCGCATGATGGTTACCTTGGACTTTTGTTTGTTGAATTGTGGATAAAAAACCTCGACTCACTGTCTTGCGATAACGATGACTACGTGCTTAGCTTTCGTCCGTTATGTGACGTACATCGTCAATGCCAGAAACCATTATTCATGAATAATCACCAAAAAACACTAAACCGAGAAAGGATGGCTAGCTAAGATCCTACTTATTTCCTATACCTCACTTTGCGATCTAATGAGGCATTCCATGATTTGGGTGGCTGATGTATGCTTGTCCTAAATGCATGTCAGTGGATCAAGGTGATGCAGGCAATGGATTAATGTGGTCACAACTTTTGTCAATGTAGCTAAAATAGAGTAGTAGTTTAGTAGTAGTAGTCCTGGATCTTG